TTAATAAGCAACGAGCGACGATTAAATTAGAAGAAAAAGTTACTCAGAATTATGTCCTTGACAACATATGTCAAGGTCAAGGTCATTGGGGCTGGGTCCCCTATTCGCTATATTTACCTTTTATTATTACCAAACTGTTTCTTTTAACTAAATATCAATATCTCACTTAACTCTTGCGTGTGTTTCCTAGTGGAAACAACCCCGGCAAAGCGTTCTAAGTGCTGGGCGAAATACGTCAGGAACCGGGAAAATAAAAAGATCCGGAAACTGTTGGCTCGGGCGTCCGCGGATCCTAGCTTTATTATCGAATATAAGAAGTTAAATCTAAACGAACAATCATTTAAATTAAAAATTCAGCGTTTAGTTAACACACAAACACGCAATACACACCCTTGTCCCCATAGTTCTTCTTTCCATTATTTACCTCCTTCTTATTCCCCCGTCTCTTCCCCCGAGCGTCCTCATTCACCTGCCTCCCCAAATCTCCACATTTGGAAAATCTTACTCCCCCTTCTCCCTGTGAACTTTCACCTGCCTTCCCTGAATTTCCTCAACAGCCGGAAAATCCTACTCCCCCCTCCGGATATTCATCTGTTTTCCCTGAATTCCGGCAACCGCCGAGAATTCCCACTTCCCCCTCCTTTTCACACCTCGAGTCGTCCAATCTCGCAGGAGCGTCGCACGATTTTGAGGAAGCCCTCCAGGACTTCGCAGAGAAGTTACCGGACCTCAAAGAGGAACCGAAAGATCCCGAACAGGGATCTTTCGATACCGAAGGAAAGTCTGAGTTCTACGAAGAACAGGCTAAATTAAACTGGTACAGATACCTTTTAAGTCAGTTTCCTTTTTACCCAGTACCTCTTACGGACGAGGATTATCGGGTCGGTCCTGACATAGTAGACCTTGACCAATTCCATCATATCCTTTTCGTCCGCCCCTGTCGCCCCGTTGCTTATACCAGCGGGCGCGGGATCGGCCGCCTGCTCTTTTTTTTTGTATTTCTGAAAAAATAGAGATAGATAAATACTAAACAGTGAATGACAATACAACCATGCATATATATCAATATTTTAATAAAAAGGAATAAATAACAAAAAAATATACCATTTTCATTCATTTTCTCTGACGGCGGCGGTGGCTGCTGCTGCTGCTCCTCTTGCCTGTTTTGCAAATATTGCAACTGTTGATGCAACAGTTGTTGTCTCTCGTCTTGTAATTTTTGTTGATGCAACAACTGTTGCATCAACTGCGGCCTATAGCCATATCATACCACATTATATTATGAAATATTCTCTATTGCATATGAAAAAAAGATGAAGGAAAGAGATTGATGTATAAATAATTACTCCCGAATTATATTTTATTATTTTTTATTAATTTCTATTATATTATTTTTAATATTTATGTTGAGATTTATTTCTCGATCTTTTATTTTCATAATTTATTCTTTCTTTTGTTCTTTAATACGAGTGTGTTTGCTCTTGCTATGGTAACTGCGTGTGTTGTCTGTGTTTTTTGGTTGTCTTGAACACAATGTTTATTATGTGGTTCGTTCGCGTTTTCGGTCGTATGAATATCTTGCGATATTAAACTAATTGATATCTCTTTAAATACTTATATTTGAGTCTCTTTGTAATAGTGGTGTTAAGTAATAAAATATCGTTTCACACACTGCGAGTCGTCGTTATTATACGTTATAATCTCAAAAATTTATTTTTAATAATATTAAAAAAATAATATTTTATTATTGTGAGCCACTGCGACCCCGCATATTTGTTCCTCGGCCGCCTCCTCTTCCTCGGCCGTTAATCGAGCAGCTTTCCATTTTTTGTCCGCCCCTGTCGCCCCGTTGCTTATACCAGCGGGCGCGGGATCGGCCGTCTACTCTTTTTTTGTATTTCTGAAAAAATAGAGATAGATAAATACTAAACAGTGAATGACAATACAACCATGCATATATATCAATATTTTAATAAAAAGGAATAAATAATTAAAAAATATACCATTTTCATTCTTTTTCTCTGACGGCGGCGGCGGCGGCTGCTGCTGCTGCTGCTCCTCTTGCCTGCTTTGCAAATATTGCAACTGTTGATGCAACAGTTGTTGTCTCTCATCTTGTAATTTTTGTTGATGCAACAACTGTTGCATCAACTGCTGCAAATTTGCATTTTCTCCATCATTCATTTCTTCTATAAAAATAAGATATATATTATGTAAGAGAAAGGAGAAGATAAAAACTAAAGATTAAACTTTCTTAACAAATATAAATAATAATATTTTGATTTGACTTACGGGACATGATGATTTTTCGTTATTTCACAGCGACATTTCACAACTGAAGCATTATTTCATTTGTTTCGTGTGTTGTGAATTTTTTTCATACGCTGTACTGTTATTGTTTCATGGCGCTTCTGAGATATCTTTGTTGCCTTTTGCGAGTCAACATATTTTATACGTGTCTTGTAAAATCTTGGTATCCAAGAAGCTGAAGCAGTTGTGATTGTAAGTCCCGATTATTTCAAATTTATATATTTATTTCTATATTTCGATATTATTTCTATTTCTTCTTTTTTATTATTTATCTGTCGTTTTATTCATTCTTCTTTAGTTCTTTGTTTCTGCCTATTTTTTGTTATGTATAAAAATGTATGATAAATAAAAAAAAACCTAAGCGAAGTTTTCAAGAAGCTTGGCTTAGTGATGATAGAATTAAATCTTGGATACGTAAAGTATCTTCTGATGATAGTTTATATCATTGCATCATATGTAAAAAAAATATTTCGTGCAACACACATGTTTTAAGACATGCGAATTCTGCGTGTCACAAAAATAATATTAAAGAAAATATTTCATCTTTATTAAATAATAATAATAATATTTCACATGATAATAAAAATTCATATAAAAATATATCATCAAAATATAAATTTAAAGCACAATGGCTAGAGATCGAATTATTTCAGCCATGGTTACGTGAAATATCAGATGGCATTAATACATTTTTTTGCTCATTTTGTAATAAATCTATGATTGGTGATTTATCTCACATTTATCGTCACGCAGAATCCGAAGCACATATAAAAATATGTAACTGCAAATTTGCATTTTCTCCATCATTCATTTCTTCTATAAAAATAAGATATATATTATATAAGCGAAAGGAGAAGATAAAAACTAAAGATTAAACTTTGTTAACAAATATAAATAATCATATTTTGATTTGACTTACGGGACATGATGATTTTTCGTTATTTCACAGCGACATTTCACAACTGAAGCCATAAAAAAATATTTCGTTCAACACACATGTTTTAAGACATGCGAATTCTGCGTGTCACAAAAATAATATTAAAGGAAATATTTCATCTTTATTAAATAATAATAATAATTTTTCACATGATAATAAAAAAATTCATATAAAAATATATCATCAAAATATAAATTTCAACCACAATGGCTAGAGATCGAATTATTTAAGCCATGGTTACATGAAATATCAGATGGCATAAATTCATTTTCTTGCTTGTTTTGTGATAAATCTATGGTTGGTGATTTATCGAATATTTATCGTCACGCAGAATCCGAAGCACATATAAAAATATCTGAAAAAAAGAAGACAGAAACAAAGAACACAAACGAAGATATAAATATGATGGACGACTCATTTTTGTCGTTTGAACAGCGGAAAAAATCAGCAGAAATTCGGTATGCCGCATTAATTGCTGATAAGAATATTTCGCATCAAACGGCAAAAAATATTCTCAATTTTTTTAAACAAATAGGTAAAGATCCTAACTTATTAAAAAGTATGAGTATGGGTCGAACAAAATGTAAAAATATAATTTCGAATGTATTATGTCCGGTTGAGACGGACCGTGTGGTTAACAGCATTCAAAATACTAAATTTTCCATTTTTATTGATGAAACGTCTGATATTTGTAATGAAAAATGGGTGACGTTTCTTGTACGGTATGTTGATCCTGAAACATTAGACATTCGCACGCAATTAATTAAATTAATTAATACTGACGCAAAAAATAGTAGCGCGGAAAAATTATTTAATGCATTTAAATGTGAAATGTGGAAATTAAACATTCCATTTGGAAATATTGTTGCCTTGTCATGCGACAATGCATCTGTCATGACAGGTAAACATCTCTCATTTAAAAAAAAGTTAGAAGAATTTTGTAAAAATTTACTAACATTTGCATGTCCATGCCATTCCGCGATATTAGCTGCACATGCTGCGTGTGCTAAAATACCGGAATATTGCGAGGAGTTTTTAAAAAAGGTCACAAATTACATTAATAGTAGTCCCAAACGTGCTGCTATTTATGAAGAATTTATCGAATGTTTTCAGGACACAAACCGTAAAATTTTAAAATTATCCAATACACGATGGCTATCTCACCATTCATGTGTTGTAAGGCTTCTTGATTTTTGGGATACTACAAAGCTCTTTTTGACCGAAATGGTCGTAAGTGAAAAATCTAAATCAAGAGAAAGTTTATTATCTGTGATGCAAAATCCGGGTCTAAAAGCGTATTTGCTATTTTTAAAGCATATTTAAAATTTTTTAAATTCTTATAATGCCTTTTTCCAAGCTGTGGAAACAAGAGTTCACTTGTCGCAGCCAAAATCATTAGAATTTTTAATAAGAATTTCCAAACATTTTTTAAAACCAGAACTTCTTAAAAATATATGTAATGATGATTGTAAATTTTCTGAAAAAGGAAACCAAAAAATCTTTAAATGATATTAATTTAGGATTTGATTGTGAAGAATATCTTGAGAGTTTAATGAAAGAAGGACATGCAGACATAATTGGAAATGTTCGAGATAATTGTCTTCAATTTTACGTGACTGCTGCCGAGGAAATTGGTAAAAGGCTGCCTATTAAAGATAAATTTTTATGTAAATTAAAAGTTTTCCAATTAAACACATCATTATGTAGCAATGACAAAGAAACATCATTTAATGATGTTTCTTTTGTCGCTTAAACCCTCGGTGGTTTTGACGAAAATGCTTTAAAAAAAATGGCATACTTTACATCTAGATTTTACAACAGCAGAAAAAGAACATTTTTCAAAATTAAACTCTGATGAGATGTGGAAAGAAATTTTAAAAAGTAGATATCCCAACATGAAGTCTCTTTTGAATGCTGTTAGATCGCTTTCAAATTCAAATGCCGACCCAGAAAGAATGTTTTCTTTACTAACAGATTTAAAAACAAAAAAACGAAATAAGCTTTCGTCCACAAGTATAAACGCTAGTTGTGTGTTAAAATCAGCTTTAAAAGCAAGAAAAGAAACTGTTCTAGACATGGAGATTTGTAACGGCAGGGCCGTTACTACGGTAGTAACATGTAGTATCCGACAAATATATATAGCTTCATACACGGCTTGCTTATTTTCACCCAGCTGTACCTATCCCGCTACCGCCATATTGCTTAACGCATGCGCACGCCCGCTCGATTTACGCCCTCGCTCACCGACACGCGCTATCTCGCTTAGCATGCGCTCTCGCTCGCCGACACGCTCTTTCTCGCTCTCACGGGGTCCCCACGCGGTACCGACTCCCGCCGCCGGACCGCTGGCGCACAGTGGGGGCCGCCGGCCGGGTATATAAGCCCGGCCGGCTGAGACATCGGGACCAGATCCTATCCCGACCAGCTCCTGATACCGATCTCACCACTACCTAACACCTCTTAGGAGGGAGGTTGTACTCAGCCCCGCCGGGTTGAACCGGCTCCTGCCTACCTCGGGCCAAGGTTGTACTTGGCCCCGTTATAAGACCTGCTAGTAGTAAGCCCTGTCTAGTACTAAGTCCGTTAGGTATAAGGCCCGTTAGTCATAAATCTCTAATTTTAATCGCCCCGTCCGCGCCTGTAAATAAAACCGGGAACGATTGCACGCCGCACTTATCTTGCGCTTCTCACCGCTTTGCGACCATCGCTTCGCGCCTGTGCGTTACGCAGATCCTGCTACCAGCGACCGCCTTCACCGCACGCTATCGCCAGACCTTGCACGCTGTATCTATCTTTCTCTAACTGAATAAACTATTTCTTTCTACCTATACTGTGTCTCGTAAGCTTGAGTCTCCCCTCCTCTCGAACCCGGACATCGACGAGCCGATCCGAGCGTCGAGCGAGGTGAACGCGTTACATAGTTTAAAAAAGATCGATATCGAGGCAAGAATCGAGTCGTCGCGCACTTTTTCTATGTAGAGCATCTGTTTCGGTAAGTGCAGCATTGCGTTCTGTACATATTAGAGAGTATATCATATTAATTTTGATCGGCACTTTTGCCGGAATATACAACCGCCGTATTTGTTACTTTCTTTGTGTTGGGGCAAAACCGGGTACTTATACATCTCATATAATGAAAAGAGGAAGAACTGTTATCTTAACTTTGATTCTCTACAAAAAGCAGTTGGAAACAAAAACTAACGCTCAGAAAAAGAAACCACTAAAAAAAAAAGCTTTTTAAGACCCCTAAAGCTAAAAAATTAAATAAGGAAGTCCTGCAGCATCGTCGAACAAGGGGATATCTTTATTTGTGATTTTTGTCAATAGAATACATCTTTATATTGTATTTTGATTAAAATAAATCTAGATTTTGTAATTACACGATGTTTTGCATATTTTCGAATGGGTACCCGGTTTGACTCTACCGGTAGGAGAAAACCGGGTACTTTGACTTCTCCACAAAATCTTGTTATTCTTGGTAACCAAAAACTTTTTTTCAGCGACTAGCCTAATTTTCTCATAGCTTAAGGTTCACTAAAGACTACTAACGGTCGACAAAATTTTTTTTTCTCTCAGATTTTTTGTAGGAAAACAAATCCAAAAAGTACCCGGTTTTACCCTACTTTCCCCTATATCTTTGATCTATTTAAAAGTAAAAATATGAGAAAATATATTTTTTTTTATTCTACAGGCTACATAAAAAAAACTGATAGAAAATAACGTGATATGGGTAATTCTACATGTCAGAAACTGTTTAAATATGATAATGCATTAGTAGGAAAGCGCACCATATTTGAATTATCAGTTTTATTTTATAATAATTTCGAATCTACACAAACTTGCTCGCCACAGCCATAATGAAATATTAGCCTTTCTGGTGGCATTTTCAGATATTTTGTTGTACGAATTTTTATCTAATTCCAATATTTGCTGATAAATGACAATAAAATCATCAATTTTTCGTGGTATTCCAAATTATAATATCAACAGTATCTCAAATACGCTGCACTTCTTCTAATAATTTCTATTTCTATTATATTGATATTAAATAGGAAAAATTGAAATAGCACAAGCAGATTATGGAGGATGGTAAGTTTATTCCGTGACATTTTAATAAATATTTTTTCATAGAATTCTATTTTGAAAACATGTGCTATATTGAACGCATTTAATATTTACAAATTGCAGATTTCTCTTTCTTTTATTTGCACCTTTTATTTCACACTTCGACCATTATACGAAGCACGGACAAATATGAAAAAGAGGTTTTTAAAATGCTCACATAAGTTGATAGATTGACTACGATGAAATTTCCAGCCTGGAACGCGACTGAAGATTTTGTCTGCATAAGAATGAAAATTACGTTTTTTGTTAAGTTTTCAGGAAAATTGTACCAAGCACTTTGATAAACAGAGAGCCCTATGTCTTCCATTTCAGATTTCAAATAATTCCCGATAAAACCATACAGCGTTAATTGTGTCATAATAGCACTCAGTACCATTAAACTCTTTCCTATCATAACAGTATTATTGACTTTCAACGCGAAGATAAACTGAAATCCTGAAAAGAATATTTGTGTTATATTTATTGAATATATCTTTTAAAAATGTGTAATTTATATATTTTTCTGAAAAATCATAAGTAATGTAATATTCACCCACTATACATAATAATATGCTGATAATGAATAATTCCATCAGCAATACGAAACTGATCAGATCAGCAAGTTCTCTAGTCAGCGTTATCAGATAACGATGTCTTTGAATTAATGCATTGAAACGATTGTTGATTTGCGGACTTGTAACATCAAAGTTGATGAAATGTATCCTCAGAATATTTATTTGGCCGCAAACATGCAATGTAATGTTAAGAAACAACGCGTCGTTACCTTTGGGAAATGCATTGATACACAGTACTGTCTTATTGCACATTGATATACAAAACAATATTTATTATTACTATTATTACTTATTTTTTATTAAATTATTAAATTATATAATAATTAAATTATTATTTTTGTAATCAAAAGATATGTATCAAAAAAATCGACTCCCGAACAAAATTGATATTTTAAAACTTGACATACACAATATCTGTTGTTGCAGTCAAATTTTAAATTAAAATTAATTTAAATTAAAATTAAATCATTATATTATAAATCACCGACGATACACATGTGGCGATGGCGTTTGGACGTTACCCACTAATTTGTACAGATTCTATGCGGATTTTAGTGAGCCTTTCTTTCTTATTAATTAATTTTGATTTAAAATCTGACTGCAGCAACAAATATTGTGTATATATCAAATTTTAAAATACCAATTTAATTTTTATATATTTATATCCACGCTGAAGATGGACCAAAAAACGGTCCAAAACGTACATTTTTAATGCACATTTGTTAATAAAATTTAACAATAATAAGTTCGCGCACTAACATCCGCGCCTTGGCTCTGCCAAGTCTTGACTCTGTCAGTTTTTTCACTTAATTATTTGTAAACTGAGCCTATTGCTGTTATTAATGTATTATAAATTAAGTTATATAAGAAAATCTATATTTTTAGCAGGCAAATCTTTTCTTTCCAGGATTTCAGTTTATTATAGCATTGAAAAACAAAGATACTATTATGATTGGACAAAGTTTAATGGCACAAATTATTGGTTTTTTAAAGCTATCAATGTACAGTTTTATCGGGAAATATTTAGAGTTCTAAATGGAAGATATAGGCTACTCACGTCTATTAAACTGACACAGCCACTTTAGCATAATCGAATAAAACTTATATAAAAATTTAGTGCTCTTTTGTTGCTAATTTGTTGCTCAATTCCCGATTTTGTTGCTCCAGCCGATTTGGAGAAAATAGTGGCTATGCTAACTTAAGGTTAAAGTTAGCACAGCCATTAAAAAAAAATTTTTTAATATAAAAACACGACATATTTTTTTAGTGCTAATTTGTTGCTAATTAGTTGCTCTATTCCCGATTTTGTTGCTCCATTTTTAAACTCCGAAAACTATCCCCAAAGCTACCTCTCGCTAACAAAACATTATGAAATTGCTAATTAATCAGATATTCCGGTTGATTACGTTTCTCTGATTTTGTTGCTCGCGATTTGCAATGAATCCGATTTTGACGGCGGCGGCGGCGGCGGCGACGGCGGCGGCTGCTGCTGCTGCTCCTCTTGCCTGCTTTGCAAATATTGCAACTGTTGATGCAACAGTTGTTGTCTCTCGTCTTGTAATTTTTGTTGATGCAACAACTGTTGCATCAACTGCTGCAAACTTGCATTTTCTCCATCATTCATTTCTTCTATAAAAATAAGATATATATTATGTAAGAGAAAGGAGAAGATAAAAACTAAAGATTAAACTTTCTTAACAAATATCAATAATAATATTTTGATTTAACTTACGGGACATGATGATTTTTCGTTATTTCACAGCGACATTTCACAACTGAAGCATTATTTCATTTGTTTCGTGTGTTGTGAATTTTTTTCATACGCTGTACTGTTATTGTTTCATGGCGCTTCTGAGATAATCTTGTTGCCTTTTGCGAGTCAACATATTTTATACATGTCTTGTAAAATCTTGGTATCCAAGAAGCTGAAGCAGTTGTGATTGTAAGTCTTGATTATTTCAAATTTATATATTTATTTCTATATTTTGATATTATTTCTATTTCTTCTTTTTTATTATTTATCTGTCGTTTTATTCATTCTTCTTTAGATCTTTGTTTCTGCCTATTTTTTGTTGTGTATAAAAATGTGATAAATTAAAAAAAAACCTAAGCAAAGCTTTCAAGAAGCTTGGCTTACAATTAGTGATGATAGAATTAAATCTTGGATATGTAAAGTATTTTCTGATGATAGTTTATATCATTGCATCTTATGTCAAAAAAATATTTCGTGCAACACACATGTTTTAAGACATGCGAATTCTGCGTGTCACAAAAATAATATTAAAGAAAATATTTCATCTTTATTACTACAAGAATATGTAATAAAAATGGGGAGTTTTCTATTTAAGAAAACATCGATCACATTGACCTAGTCTTGAAATGATCACTCAAAGTCAAGTCCATATTTTCATCATGTGGCTCCCTCGAAACCATGCAATTTTTGTCTATCGGGCTCAGTTTTCGAGATATTCGCATGGATTTATTTATTCGAGATATTTGACTGGCTCTTTTAAAATGGACCACCCTGTATATACAGGGTTGTCCATTTTAAAAGAGCCAGTCAAATATCTCGAAAAATATGGACCATGCGAATATCTCGAAAACTGAGCCCGATAGACAAAAATTGCATGGTTTCGAGGGAGCCACATGATGAAAATATGGACTTGACTTTGAGTGATCATTTCAAGACTAGGTCAATGTGATCGATGTTTTCTTAAATAGAAAACTCCCCATTTTTATTACATATTCTTGTAGTTTATCGTGAGAGCTTTTCAAAACACTATAATAAAGTATTTTTTCATTAAGTATTTTTTGAGTTATTTTTTACAACAGCAGAAAAAGAACATTTTTCAAAATTAAACTTTGATGAGATGTGGAAAGAAATTGTAAAACGTAAATATCCCAACATGAAGTCTCTTTTAAATGCTGTTATATCGCTTCCAAATTCAAATGCCGACCCAGAAAGAATGTTTTCTTTACTAACAGATTTAAAAACAAAAAAAACGAAATAAGCTTTCGTCCACAAATAAAAACGCTATTTGTGTTTTGAAATCAGCATTGAAAACAAGAAAAGAAACTGTTCTAAACATGGAGATTGATGAAAAGGTCTGAAACGTTTTTCCGTATCTTCCATATTTTTCGAGATATTTGACTGGCTCTTTTAAAATCGACCACCCTGTATATATGTATACATATACATATAGAGCACATCGTCAGATACAGGACAACAATCCAAATCGAAAAGTCCTGAACCATTTTTTATTTGAACTTTCTTTTCGTTGTTAAATGATGTTAGCTAATCAGCGCCTGTCTACAGCGGAAAGCAGGGAAAGTACGGTGGGGGTCGGAGTAGAGAGACGGCTGTCCGCTGTATAGATAGACGCTGATTAACTTACTTTAACATCGCATAACAATGAAAAGAAAGCTTATTGTTAGATCAAAAAATGGTTCAGGACTTTTCGATTTAGATTGTTGGCCTGTATCTGATGCTCCATATACGTTTTTTCAGTTACATCTTGTATACAGGGTGGTCCTCGTAACGGTCGCCACGATTTTTAAGGCACTTACAATAATCTGACATAAAAAAGTCATAAACAGAAATTTATCACTTTCTAACCGGCAACAAATTGCAATAATAAAAATTGACCAAACATTTTTTTTTTCCATAAAAAAGCAAAGTCACCTTGACTTTTTTAAATGGAACCATTGTATTTTTTTAATAATAATGTAGAGGGTAGCGAAACAAATTCAATGAGTACACACAATGTTATTTTAAGTTACATTGCAACACAAAATAAACCATTTTAAATTCGCTAAAGCGTAATTCTTCGCTATCGAGGAAGTTCACTAGAAACGTAAATAGTAAACAAATAATAACATACTAGTTAAAATAGATGTTCAAATTGCATTCCACCTTCCGCAACACATAGTTCCGCTCTTTTCAACAAATTATTATGTGTCATCACCTTAATGATGACATCTTAATGATAGCATCAGCTAAACTGGAATGTTTTATGCTTCTGCAGGCCCTTATTATGCGTTCTCGAAGATCATCGATACTATTAATCGGTGTTTCATTGTATACAACTGACTTTAAATATCCCCACAAATAAAAATCTAATGTAGATAAATCCGGTGAACGACTAGTTAAAGTAGATGTTCAAATTGCATTCCACCTTCCGCAACACATAGTTCTGCTCTTTTCAATAAATTATTATGTGTAGCATCAACTGAACTGGAATGTTTTATGCTTCTGCAGGCCCTTATTATGCATTCTCGAAGGTCATTGATACTATTAATCGGTGTTTCATTGCAATTTGTTGCCGGTTAGAAACTGATAAATTTCTGTTTATGACTTTTTTATGTCAGATTATTGTAAGTGCCTTAAAAATCGTGGCGACCGTTACGAGGACCACCCTGTATATGGATATATGGATATATGCGTATATGCATATATGCGTATATGTGTATATGTACATATATATGTATATAAAACATGATATTCATTGCATAAGGCGTAAAAGTTTCCGAAAATTTTAAGTTTTTCTTTTTTAAACATTGGCCGATAATGTCCATTTTCTTAGCGAGGTGAATGTAGAAGTGTGGATACTCATATGATTAACGTAGGATAAGTATTCTCACTCCTATGTTTATCTCCCTAGGGAAACGGAACGAATCATTGTCGGGCAGTGAACAAGTAGTATTGAGATACATTGAAACAACCATCATTTGTGTAATCCTTTTCGTTTATATTTCTTAAAAAAAGAAATTCTTCTATCTATTTTAATATGATCGGGAGAACTGGCCGCTTTTAATGCATCTCGAACTATCTCAATGGAACAGTTTGCTGTGAAACCACGCAAACTTTCGCGCCTTTGCAATGTTATCTATATTCAATAAAAAAGTGCATAATATTAATAAATTCAATAAAAATCTTTGTGTGTGTATTGTAGAATAATATACTTTTTAATAAAAAAATTCTTGTTTCCTACTAATACTGGCTAAGACTCAAAATGCTTATAAAAAATTAGATAAATATTACCAAGATTAGCTGTAGTTGCCAGTATCATTATAACAGTTTCGACGAGACAAATGAGTTTATACATGCTGGTTGGAAAATGGAAATATTCTAGAGTGCATCTTGATGGTATAGCATACTCCAATATCATATCCTCGTTTGTTATGTTAATCCGATTACCTTGGTCGTAATTCAAAAAAGGAATTATCCCATATATTAAACAACTAACGTAAGAAAAGCCCAGCATGAAAAAACAAAGAATTCGTCCTATAAAAGCATGTTTTCGCATAATGTCGCGCTCTCTTGTGTTACCAATCGTCAGATAATCGTTTAGAGCAGAGTCGTAATTGATAATTAAACTATCTGCATAAATGCGGAACCATGTCGTCTTCAACACACCGAGAAGTCCGCAACCGATTAACATCAGACAGTCCACGTTTTGCTCTACGTCAGTACAGCCCATGTATAGCTCCATGGAAGGCAAGATCACATTTAGGCTCTGTTGAGACATTTCCCCATAAATGATATTTTGTGCTCAAAAAAATATATTTCATTCCTGACCAATTCATTCCATTCCAATAAATTCTTTCTAACAAATATTTTTATTTAAAAAAATATTTGAATGCTACTTTTCACTCTCATGCTTTTTCTCTTTCCTACTCTTGCTCAATTTCTCTCTTTCTCTCTCTCTCTCCCCTCCTCTCCCCCCTCGCCTCCCCCCCTATGTCTTTCACTCTATAAAATACCATGTAAAAAAATGTTCTTTTAGATTGATTTATGCAAAGTATTATAATCACATAGGGCAACTCGGAGGAAGATGACATGTAAAATGGCATTTTTCCATAATTTTTAAGTTTTTCAATAAAGGATACCACTAATCTACTCAGCTGATCGTGTATAGTGCAGATGACAAAACGAGTGCGCTGTTGTTTCTTTGTGCTATATTTTTAAATTAATCAAGGTAAGTTAAAAAAATATGGCTAGTTTAAATCTTATCGTATAGTACTCTAAAATATAACATTATTGCTACATAATATTTATGTGTAAGTACTCTTCAAGTGTGAGTAGATTTATTTAAATTAATATGCTTAGTAAATCATGTAACCTGTATGTTACATATGTTAAATATTAACATGTGTTGTGTATCTTTTTTTTAATTTTTATATTTAATGTTTACTGTGTGGTAAAATGCCGCACTTTTATCAGAGAAAGATGACAGTTCTAGCATCTTATTCCGGCATGCAGATATCGACATCGAGTTACTTTCTATAAAATCTAATCGCAAAAAGTATAAAAAGTTAGTATTATACAATTAAAAATAATTATAACTATGTTGATTATTACATATGGCATATTTTTTGAATTTACTTTGATTAAATAAAAAATCTTTACCAAAAAACTTAAGAATTACGGAATGATGGCATCTTACCCAGTTGTCTGGCATCTTACCCACATTTGTAAGAATTTTTGTTGTTATTGTTAAAATAATAAAAAACCGAGACCTAATTACAAAAATATTGTTTTTCAAAGTTAAGTATGGTATCTTCCCCCGAGTTATCCTATTTGTATATTTGATTATATGTCATCCTTCAATATTAAAATAAAAAAGAAGATATTATTAAAATAATATATATATATATATATATTATTGTGATAAATTCACGTTGTGCGTACTTCAGTTCGATACTTCGAGAATCGCAATTGCATTTCGATAGATTTCGAATCGCAGTTAGTAACGGACGTGGCGCGATGGCTCGCTAGAGTCGGATTCGAATCGCTCCGTATTTATCGCGATTGTTACGGTTTAAAAGTGAATCTCACGGGCATTTAAAATATAAAATATCTCAAAAAGTACTTAATGAAAGAATACTTTATTATAGTGTTTTGAAAAGTTCTTGAGGTAAGCTGCAAGAATATGTAATAAAAAATGTGGAGTTCCATTTAAGAAAACATCGACCGCATTTACCTCACCTTGAAAAGACCACTTAAGGTCAAATCCATATTTTTATCATGTGGCCCTCTCGAAACCATGCAACTTTTGTCTGAAACATTTTTTGATATCTCACTTCGTTTCCGAAAAATATGCCCGCATCGCTATAAATGTCGCACCCTGTATATATATATATACAGGGTGTTTTATTTTAATTTCCCCAGGCAAATATTTCGGAAAATAAGGAAAATTCGACAAAATGTTTCAGACAAAGGTTGTATAGTTTCTAGGGGGGCATAAGACGGTGCCATCAGTTTGACCTTGAAGAGTGACATGAAGGTCACGTAAAGGTCATTTTGAATTTCTTAAATGGAACACCCTATATATTTTTGCATATTCTTGTAGCGTGGTTTCCCCAGTAGGCCTAATCCACTCTCAAAATTTAATGCAATAACTGTTCGAAGTGTCTTCCTCGTGCTTGTAAAAAGAATTCGACTCTTCCAGTTATTTGTGTATTAAAGTTATTTGTGTATTAAAGTGCTTTAATAATGAATTATACGGCGGAAGAGTATACAGATATGATTATCTGTTATGGGATGGCCGGAGAAAATGTTCGTGCCGCGGAGCGCATTTACGCAGAGCGATTTCCCAATCGTGAGCGGCATCCGTCAAGAGTAACAATAACGGATTGTGTCCGACGAGGAAAACGAACAGGATTTCTTCTGGCACAACATCAAAACCGTGTTGATGTACCAGTACGTCGTCATGTTAATGACACAGCAACTTCTTGCACGAGACGAAATACAGCGCGTCCACTTCTGCGAGAGTATTTTCATTTTTTTAATTTCAGTTTTTCTTCGATATTCACGGCACTTTCAGCATTTGATAATCATTAACAAAACACGCGCAGGGTTCCTCGCACTGTGTCGGCGAAACGTTTCATTTCCCGACCATATCTTGTGGACAGATGAGTCCACATTCACACCAAATGGCGTCTTTAATTCTCGCAATTTCGTGATCTGGCAAGAGGAGAATCCTCACGCCATCCATCAGTGCTCATTTCAATATCGCTGGTCGATAAATGTATGGGCAGGAGTAATTGCGAACAGAGTGGTAAATATTTTTGTGAATTAAAATATATTTTTTCCCGCACTGTCCTCGTAATGTATCTATCGGCGATTTTCAGATCGGCCCATATTTCCTTCCGCCACATCTCAATGGACAGACGTACGCGGAGTTAATTGAGAACAAGTTGCCGGAACTTTTGGAGGACGTTCCTCTTTGCACGCGAGAAACGCTGATTTTTCAGCACGATGGAGCTCCCGCACATTATTCTTGTCGAGTACGAGAAATTTTAGACGCGCGTTTTCCGGACAAATGGATAGGTCGAGGTGGCCCTATCGTTTGGCCGGTACGGTCGCTAGATTTGAACGTGCTAGACTATTCTCTTTGGGGCTATGTAAAAGCTTCAGTCGAGCACCATCGTGATGGTACCGAAGATGAGGTACGCGAAGCTATTTTAGCGGCCTTTAATAGTATTACGCCGGACATGGCGCACCATGCGACGCGACAAAAGAAGAGTCGAACTCTGCTTACAAGCAGGAGGAAGACACTTCGAACAGTTATTGCATTAAATTTTGAGAGTGGATTAGGCCTACTGGGGAAACCACTTAAAAAAACGCGCCAAGCTATCTACCTCAAGGTGGTGTGGAAACGATAGCGTTTCCTTGCCACAAAATAATTTTATTTCGGGAAAATATAAATAGAACCATCTCAAGCAGAACACAACGATTACAAGTTATAATCGTTACCTCATATATCGAAGTAAGATATCTTATTTCGACACATGAGGTAAATAAGACATTTTATTTCGATACATGAAGCGGGAAACGTTTATTATTTTGTACTAGCGGAGGCTTTATATTTTTTGATATGCGTATTCGAATATTTTTGTATGAACATTTGTTGCAATCCTGACGAAGGAATAAAAAAAAAACGATAGAAAATGATTACATTGTTTTCTATAGTAACTGTAAATAATAAATTAACAAAAGCTTAAATTCACACGATAGATCCTTTGTTTCTTTTTCATAGATATCTCATTTTCAGCATTCACAATTTTAATTTCTTATTGTGTTTTACCGTAATTATGAATCCTACATTGATGAAGGATCGTAAATTCACAATAGATTCTCGATCGTTTCCTTTTGTAAGTATATTATTGCAGCATCAACTCTTATCTTTCTTATCGTTTCTTTTTCCACGAAACGTAAAAAAATAATTAAAAATCATAATAAAATAATAATAATAATAATATATTATTATTCAATAATTAATTTTTTTATAATTGTTAAGCAAGCATTCAATTAGCATTATTTATCTAAATCATTTAATAATTGTTATTAATGGCCGCTCGCTGCTCGCGCGTACTCCGACTTTCGTCGCGGGGCCACTAAACTTTTCGTTGCCGTATGACACTACGAAGCTCGCCGCTGGTACGCCTAGAGCGTACGTCCCACGGTCTAGCCGCGCGAAACGCGCGCTCATTCGCCAATCTTTTTTAATTATGATTTCAATAATTATTGCGAAAATTGCAAAATGGTACAGGACTTTTCTGTTCAGTTTACTGTGCTCTACCTGCTCACGAGCGTTGTCAAGGGTGCTTTGGGACACCCTGTATACAGGGTGTCCGGTAAAAATTGTGCCAACGATCGTGAGCGGGTAGAGCACAGTAAACTGAACAGAAAAGTCCTGTAGACTTTTCTGTTCAGTTTACTGTGCTCTACCCGCTCACGAGCGTTGGCACAATCTTTACCGGACACCCTGTATAACAAAACTTGCATAAATAAAAAAATTTTTTATGTTAAGATCTAAAACAAAAAAATTTCACAAAAGTAAATGTTATTTAAAATTTATGTGATATTTTGTGGCATATTATCAAATTTGTTTCACATACAATTGTTATGATAGAATCATAAAATAAGTACTGTATAATGCATGCTTTCTATAACATTTCTCGAAAAGAATCGTATAATTTTTCATAATAAAAAAACATACATAAATCATATAAAAAAATTATCTTTCTTATTCCTTAGAATTTTTCAATGACTTGCAATTCTATTGATTAACAACCCATCTAAAATGTTATTACAGCTGGAAAAAGCGTTTTACTATACGTTATCAAGAATAGGAAATGTAAAATTTTTATGTTCTCATCGCTACGTCAAAATGTACTTTAGAGCGTTGCAATATCAACGTAGAAAATATTCTTCATTGTCTTCAAACAGTCGCAATTGTATCAATGATCTGCGAGTTCTCAAAGATACTTACCGCACAACAAGTGCCTAAAGCACAACGCAATAGCGAATAAATGTTATAAATTTGAAGTGGCCATACGCCGATAGGCCACGCAATCAATTTGAAAGGGGTCATCGCGTATGCGATATCGTTTTTCCACCGTTCACTTGCCATTGTCGAGATAATGACTCTAACTAATGCCAACCGATGATCTGCTCCCTATATCGACAGAACACGAGTATTCCAACTTATTTTTTATTCATGAGAGATATTACGTAAGAGATATTTTCTTATCAAATTTTCTCTATGCTCTTAGAGCCACCGACGATGTATCGACACAAAATGCTGGTATTATAATTCATTTTTTATTCAACGTGTAAGATATACAGTCTGTTTGATAAGAGGATGTCCAGCAAAACTTTTATATGGAAACCGTTAAACGGAAAATTCCAACAGGTGCCGGTAGAGAGACCCTTCGCCTAAGATGCTTTGTAGAGAAAACTTCAGTTGTCGTTCAATCTTCGTGATAAAAAAACATATTTCGCCATGAGTGCCGCATACGCGATTCGTGATTTCGCGATTCGAAGCCGTGGATTGGTCGTCACAATCACCGGCTGCAAATCCCATCGAAAACATTTGGTCTTGGATTAAGCTTAAACTTCGTGGAAAAAAATTTGGAAGGTCAATGAGTTAGTTCGACAAACTCAGTTGATCTGGAAATCTTTACCTCAAGAGTATGCCATAAAATTAGGTGAAAATATGCCTCGGAGATGCCAGGCAATTATTGAGAACGAAGGCGACTAGATAACTTATTAATAATAAAGCATCACAGTTTTAATCAAGTAGTATGTGTATATTTTATTCCAAGTTATTACAATAAATTGTATATCGAGTTTTGCCGGACACGCTCTTATCAAACAGACTGTACATGCTTATCAGTCAGCTTTAATACTCTTAAAGTATTATGAAATATAAATGCAAGTCACGCTTTTACGCAATATGTTCGTTGAATAAAAATTCATATCACAGATTCTAAATTGTTGTCGTCCGTGGAGCAACTATTCCTTTACTATGTGAAATGTTAGAAAAAAGTGTGCGTTTTCCTCCTAGGTATCTATACTATATTTTATTTCATCTGGTTATCCGTTAAATTAAATAGTATAGATTCAATCTGTCCAAAGTGAAAATACAGTTCAAATCCATAGCGAATAACACACTTTTTTTCTTTATGTTGCAGGTCATCGCAGTTGGCATACTGAGAAAATATAATGCGATATTATTCGAGAAGGTGCGAGAATCAGAGTTTCCGCAATAAATTACACTAGGTTTTCGATTATTTGCTTTTAATCAAATAAATAAACTAATTATCACAGCACAATTTAATAAATATTAAATTCGTATTACATAATTCGAGTCCGAGTTAATAGCCGAGGTAAATTGGTCTTTTTCAGAGATTGTCGATGTGCGAAAGCTGCGAAGAATCTTAATCGATTTCTTGCGAACGACTGCGCTTGGGCCACGTGCCCTGCGCCTTTTTATCTGCTCCGATTTCCAGAAGGTTCCTCTTCGTGCAAAATTGCTAACTCACATCCGGAGTGCGCGGATGAGAACCTTCCAGAAATTCGGAGACAGATTACGCAAAACGCCGAGCGTCTTATTTTTATCGCGCTTCTGTGGGCGTCGGTAATTGGGCGCCGGTAATGTCGCGTGCCGATGCGGGACACGCGCTCTTTGCGCAGGATAAAGCGCGTGTGCGTAACTGTACGTCGCACAAATGGCGCACCGCGCTCACTTACGAACGCTCTCTTAGCGAAATCCCGAACAAATATAGATAAATAAAATTGTTAAGTTTTATCTTGCCGCATTAATATAATAATTTAATGATTGCAATGATTGATAATAATTAAATACGATTTTAATTAATAATTTTATTGATGACATTTGAAAAAAAATAAACTATAAGATTTAATTATTTTTTATTTTGTCAAACATATTATAAATTTATAGTTTCTGAAAATATTTTATATTTACACATGTTATATTTCAAACATCGACCATTATACGAAGTACAAACAGATATGAAAAAGAAGTTTACAAAATGTTTACTAAAGTTGATAATTTTACCACAATAAAATTTCCAGCTTGAAACATGGCTGGAGCTTCTGTCTGCATAAAGATGAAGACTAGATTTTTCGACAGTTTGATAGGAAATTCATACCAAGCACTTTGATAAATAGAGTAGCCTATATCTTCCATTTGGGACTTTAGATAACTTCCGATAAAGTTGTATACTGATAACTTTACCAAAAAAAAACAGTTTGTGCCATTAAACTTTGTCCAATTATAACAGTATTTTTGCCTATCAATGCTACGATAAATTGAAATCCTGTAAAGAAAATATTTCTGACTTAAAACTAAAATTTGGTTTTGGTTAGGTTATATCTTCCGGAAATGAAGCCCCCCGTAGGGGGGGGGGCAGAACCTACTGCGTCTACGCATATACTTTACAACACGACTTTCGTTATGTCAAGGTCAAACTCACTATTCTTTTATACATGTTCGAAAATTACCTAGCATACTTCTCAAACTTTATTTGTTAATAACTTTTAAATAAGCAACGACCGCCGGCTAAAACCTTCGGAATGTTGATCAGAGTCATGACCTTAACAACATATGTCAACATTACTATCCTGCGGGGGTGGGACCTTAATATGCATAATTACCCATAAAAATATTACGGTAACATTATCGAAAACTAAATATTTTATGAGATATTTTATTTTTTATATCAAAATATGTCAGATTAAGATATAAAATAACTCAAAAAGTATTTAATGAAAACATACTTTATTATAAAGTTTTGAAAAGGTCTCGACAAGGGCTATAAGAATATGCAATAAAAAATAGAGGTTTCGATTTAAAAAATTCAATGTGGCCTTGATATGACCTTAACAATACCACCCAAGGTCTAACTAATATCCCTATCTCTTTTCCCCCTCAAAACCAAACAACTATTGTCTAAAAAGTTTCCTTCTAAAACTTACAGGTTTTGAGATATTTTCCTGTTAAGATTAAAAAGACACCCTGTATATTTAAAATTATTATTATTAATATTATTATTACTATTACTTTTGTTGTGCCTCCGTGGAGGTACAGAGATTTTGTTGGGATCGTCATTTTTACTGATAATATAATTACTGTAATAATAAAAATATATATCTTATGCGAATACACACACACACACACATTTATATACTTAAATTTAAAAAAAAATTTATTAAAGCAGTATTGTTTTAATGTAACAATATATTTTTGTTTATAACTCTGATATAAATATATAATACCTGTTCACGAT